CCTGCGATACAAACGTGGCTGATGATTCGATCCCGCTTCCAAGGCTCACCAAGCCTTCCGTGCCTCCGAACCGGCGATTTGGTACCAGATTTGTCTAGAAGGATAGAAGCACTGACTTGTTAAATCGGTAGGCCTCCGCGAGACGTCGTAAAGGCCAAATATGCAATCAATCACCTCTGACAAAAACATGCCAGCGCAAATGTTCAAAAGTCTTCAAAATGACTTACTTTTCGTTTGTGAAAACAAGAACTTTCTGCCAGTTGTGTTCCATAATCTTCAGATACAACACAAGAGGATGGTACTTTTGATCTACAACTAGTACTGTATGCCGGATGCTTGATGGAAGAGACAATGGACCCGAAACATGACTTAGTGACTGCACCTTCATGTCGACCTAAATGTTGAATCATTGATACATACACTACTGAGAGGAAAAAATTGGAAGTGGCCAATCAATGAGTTCATGAAATGTCTTATCAAATGGAAAACTTTAGATCAGAAAACCGTTGGCATTCGGGTACCTCAGTTTATTAAGCGGCCTGGTATATTTCAAGAAAAGAAGTGTTGAACAGGGTTGATCTTGCTTTCAAATGATAGCGTATATAAGAATGTTGAATGATAAGTAGCATTTCTGAACCTAGGCGTGAGCTCACTAAAGCAGGTCACCGCTCTGCTACCACTATTTATTTCCTCTCTATTCTTTCTTTGCGCATGTGGCGCAGTGGTTGGAGGTGCTCTGCGTCGCACACATGGTCAATGGTTCGATCTCGCGCTCATGGCTCACCAAACCATCCATCCCTCCGGGGTCAGTAAATTGGTACCAGACAGGTCTCAGACTTGTCTGGGAGGATATGCAGCACTGACTTGGTTCAGCGACAGGCCACCGCGAGTCATTGTAAAGGCCAGATATGCATTCAATCATCTCAAACGAAGTTAAAAATTGAAGTCGAATGCATGGCGCATCCCTCAGGGATTGATCAACGCCGAGAGCTTTTTATTTTATTCTTTCTTTTCCTTCTAAAGCACATCTCACTGTAATGAAACAGCAATAAAAGGGTACTATAAAACCCAGAACTGAGGAGCAAGTTCGCGGAGTTGGTCAATCTTCACGGGGCGCACCATGCATCTTCAAGCATCGTTTGAGGTGATCGCATATGTATCTGGCCTCTAAAATAACACCTGGCAGACTAACATTGTGTTAAGTCATGCAATATGGATAGCTTGATGAACTCTGAGCGCGGGGTTGAACCATCGATCACCGACTGATCGACTACGTTTGTGTCACAGAGCACCTCTAACCACTACGCCACACGCACAGTAAAAGATCTCGGTACTCGTTGATATTATATCCGTTGAATTAAGACCACATAGTCCCTTTGTATCACACACCTCATTATTAGTTGGAGCAGTTGCTCGGAAAAAACGCGGCTGATGAAGATTCCAAACATGTAATTCTTCGATATCCTTTGATAATGTCGCCGAGAGTAGGATTTTTTGAGGAGCCCAACGTGAATCAACAATATCGGCTAAGTTTACGCAACGCGCCAAGCCTATAAACTTCCAGAAGATAACATCCACAAGATTATTATCTCCTTGACTGAAGCCCACCTCCACTTCGATGCTCGACAATTTCCAACCACTCCAATCTCACCATGGCACCCATTCGATCGGCTTCGTCAACGATCAAAAATCTATGCAAAACCTGTATTTAATGAGGAAACAATTTCTAGAGATGAAAAAGATGTTCACCTCAATGAGGACAAATCTATGCCACTAGAGGGATCGGTAAGATGGTCCATTAGTCGCCCGGGTGTTGAAATGATGACATTCGAAGTGCACCGGCCTTCAGGAGCCAATTGGCGTTGTTCTTTTGAGAAATCTGACGCACCAGATAAAGCTGTTATGACGGCTCCACAGCCATTGTAAGTGGCGAATTCCTGGTAAGATTTTTTTTCTAACATCGCCTACGAAAAAACTGCTGCCTTTGCCTAAGGCAACAAGTAGAGAGTTTATAATAGAAAACCTTTTCTATTTGTTGTACGAGTGTCTGAACTGGAGCGATGACCAGTGCTTGTAGGCATCCATTAGGCCTTGGCCCTACCTGGGTTAATATGGGCAGTACGTAGCACAGTGTTTTACCAGATCCTGAAGAAGACTAGTCATAAAACAAATAAAAATGTATAAAGGATAAAAAAAATCTCTCGGCGCTGATCAATCCCTGAGGAATGCGCCATGCATTCGACTTCAATTTTTAACTTCGTTTGAGGTGATTGAATGCATATCTGGCCTTTACAATGACTCGCGGTGGCCTGCCCGCTGAAGCGAGTCAGTGCTGCTTATCCTTCCAGACAAGTCTGCGACCGGTCGGGTACCAATTTACCGACCCCGGAGGGATGGATGGCTTGGTGAGCCATGAGCGCGAGATCGAACCATTGACCTCGTGTGCGACGCAGGGCACCTCTAACCACTGCGCCACATGCGCTTTATAAAAATGTATAGATATTATTATATGAGACATATCATCCATACCTGTCGGGGCGGAAATAGCGATGTCGCGTGGGCGTAATACAGGCACTTGACTTATATCCCTGAGAAGATCTGGCAGAACTGCTTTCTATGTAATAGAAATTTGTTCGTTCAATATCTTTAGCAACTTTCACTAACCTGTACAGGAAACCAAGACTTTATTTTCTGGCGAACCAGACTAGCAATAGGCGCAGGCAGGCCAGAAATCGAGGATAATTCAGCTAAATTATCGCTGTGCAGTTCGGCAGGGAATAGAGTGGCAGTGGATATCCACGATGCTGTCACACTAAAGTTCTGGATGATTAATGAGAACAACTATGAATTGGGAGTCAGCGGCCATCTTTTCATGACTAAAAAGCTGCAAAAATAAACAAAATAATGGCCATAGACGCACTTTATCTTCTTTGGAGTCTCAAAGTTACTCTGGCCGAGAATTTTGAATTCTTTTTGATACTCGTCTTCTTTCGAGGTGCCGACTTCTCCGACATCTTCCATCCCCTTATCATTCTCGACATCCTGAAGGCTGAAATAGAACCACCTTATGCGAAAATTATATTAAAATAACAAAGAAATACATACAAAACATACACTAAACGTAACATAAGGACATAAAGAATGTAAGAAACATAAGACGAAGTAAACATAGGCAAATATAAAGGACATAATTGATTCATCAGATCGACTGTTTTTTAAAACCTTTTTGAAAAAGGTTTTTTTTTCAAAAAAGGTTCTAAAAAACAGTCGATCTGATGAGTCAATTTTGATCTAACAGCCAAAAAACACTGACTGAGAGGTGATGATGGACCAGTGTCTTTGTACACTGTGCCATCACCACATACGCCTCCCTCCTTGCTTCAGTGCAGGGCTTAATGTGGGGCGTGGGTCACTGACGAGGTGGCCGAAACCTCCGAAACCCCGGTGTATGACCCTGACGTAACAACCTCGTTTAGGCTTGAAGCATTCTTTTTTGAAATTACAAAGGACATATTTTCACATATGATTGAGCTACCACCACGAGCTTGATAAAAATCAATGTATACGCCTATCATCTTAGAGTATTGAGTGGTAGGCAATACATTTTACCACAGGCGGATAGTGAACCTGTGTTATCGATTCCGCGGGTTCGCGCTACCACTATGCCATCGAGACCATTGCGTTGCTACCCCCATAATACTGGTGAAAAGCAGTAGAAATAAAGAGTTTTTTCAGATTATTCGGCTAAGATTTCGACCGTCGATTGTCCACGCTCGTTTCCCCTCTCGGTGGAGGTCTTCGTCTTCGTTGTTGTTCGAGTCGAAGCATGATACGACAACGAAGGCGACGATTCAGATTGGGGACGAACGACGGTGGACAACCGACCCGAAACATCGAATCTGAAGATGAGGAAACGCGTTGAAACTTTGGGTGACTGAATTCTATGAACCTCGTGGTCTCAGCCGAATCATTTGGAGAAAACCATTATTAATTGGTAATTTTAAGGTCCAAAAAAGAGTCGCTCAAGTTTTAAAACATAGATAAAAAATCGAAGCAAATAAGACTGAGCTACGAGTTTCTACGAAGCGATTGTATAGCGATATTCTCAGGGAATATCTTAAGAAAAGAACTGACCTCACATCCTCCTCGTTTTCCTCCAGTGCTTCACTCAGTTCGGAGTCCGACGGACCACCACTTTCATCCATTTCAGCGCGAGATCGTCCCGGCGGCTCCTCGACAATCCGCCTTTTCTTCGGATTCACCATCACTGCAATAGCAATTTTTATCCGGTCGACTTGATTCATTTTTGCTTCTATTGTCCATAAAAGATCTCCAATAAAAGGAAGAAAGAGTGATGTTAAAGCAGATGTCGATGGTGCAAAGGATGAAGCACTCGGCCACGGGGATCGAGTGGAATGCGGGTTCAAGTCCTGCCTGGAGCAAATTTTTTGCACATCATTCTACATCAATGGGTACAAAGATCTTTTCATTTCGATTCTTCACAATTCGAATTGATGGTGGTCATGGAGCATTGCTTGCTGCGATTGTGTAAATATTGGAGGTAGATCAGAATTAGTTCATCGCCGACTTCTTCATGGAAATGTAAAATCCGATGGCATGCGAAAAACAAGCGAGAAAAAATCGGTCAGAGTTGATGGAAAGTTGGTAGATGGCAATAAGAGAACATTGGCTACCGCCCCCGCCCTCCCCTTTTCCTTTACTTTCACCTTCTGCAAAATCAAAAAGAGTTCGATTTAAATCGATATCACCTAGAAATTGATATCGGTTATCGAAGGGAGGGGGGGATGGAAATAGTTCCATAGCTATCATATTAAAAGGGATTAGCTGCGATACATGCGTTCCATGGCCGAAAATGGTCAAGATTTCTCGAACCGAAACTCATTTGGATGATCAAAAAAGATCGTTCTTGTTTGAGCAGTTTTAGCGATGGTACGGTGTTATGGAAATACCCATTGATGTGGAGTAATATACAAAACTTCCGCGTCAGGCGGGACCCAAACCCGCATTTCACTCTATCTTGGAGAGCGTGCTCTAATCCGTTGCGCTACTGACGCCCGTTCTATTGTCACTCTTTCGTTGTACGTTGTAACGTGGAAAGAGTGATGGTAGAACGGGCGTCAATAGTGCAACGGATTAGAGCACGCGTTCCTGGAGAGAGTGAGTTTCGGGTTCGAATCCCGCCTGACGCAGAGAGTTTTGCCCATCACTTCACATCACAAAAACTCATTTGATTTCACAGTCATAGGACTTCGGTTTTGGCCATTATTTCTCCAAATCATAAGTTGTAATGACTAAAAGATGTAAGGTAGAAAATTTACAGACAATTTTTAAGTGAGGTGCAAAACTTTCAACCTCGGCGGGATTCGAACCTCATAGGGGGGAGGGGCGGGGAGTGAAACGTAGCGGGTTCGAATCCCGCCGAGGTTCAAAGTTTTGCAGCTCACTCGACGTAACACTACTAATTATGCGACAAAGCAAAGAATTTCGGTAGATCACAAAGTGAAAATGTTTGAATTCTACTAAAGAGTTCATTTGGTAAGTGGCAGCCGCAGGAATGTTGTGGACTTGCGGACTTCCCATCGGCAAGTAATTTTCGTATAATCGCGGTCTCCAGTACTTCGGCGGTCTGGGGACAGCATTCTTTCCTTCTTGTTTATTTGTTTACTTGTTTACCTCTCGTACATTTCTGGTAGTTGCCCGCGGTCTCTTCCCAGCGTTACCTTAGTTTTATTTTATCTTATTTTTATTGACGTAGAAATTGTGGTGAGCAAAACGGGCACGGCAGTTAATGGGTTAGAGCACGCGCTCCCGCATAGAGTGAGTTGCGAGTTCGAATCCCGCCTGACGCAAAAGTTTTGCACATCAGTTGGTTTCTTTTATTTTTGTTTTCACAACCCGTCGTCACAATTTACTGTGTGGACCTCAGCACTCTTTCCATGCTAGTCGTTTTCTCGGGATTCGTTCTCCACAAACGTCTTCGATGATTCCACATGTTGTATTCTGACAACTGTTTGAGGAACTCGTTTCTCACAGGCATAGTAGCCAAGCTAAGACGTTTCCTCAGGCGTTAGTTGATCTAAGGATGCAAGAGGGAGCTGAACGAGCAATTAATTGTTTTATTAACCACTGCGCTAACCCCCCCCCCCCCAAGCCCCCAAGTTGCCTTAGTACCTCAGTATCTGTGTCGCCTCAAAGACTACAGTGAATTCATTCCTTATTCCTAGTTCTTCCACTTTTATTTTCCAGAGATGCCCAGAGATGATCCGATAGTTGAAGAGGAACGACGAGCTCATACAGCAACAGATCTGATTCGGATGCGCCTGGAACGACTACAACAAAATATTGTAAGTTTTTGCTGTTCTCACCCCTTTTTTCAGTTTATCAGTTACTTGTAAGCGCATGCAGCTCAGTGGTTAGAGGTGCTCTGCGTCATACACAAGGTCGATAGTTCGATCTCGCACTCATGTCTCATCAAGCCTTCCATCCCTCCGGGATTGGCAATTTGGTACCAGACAGGTCTCAGACTTGTCTGGGAGGATAAACAGCACTTACTCGATGCAGCAGGAGGCCACCGCGTGTCATTGTAAAGGCCAGATATGCATCCAATCACCTCGAACGAGGTTAAAAATTGAAGACGAATGCATGACGCATCCCTCAGGGATTGATCAACGCCTAGAGGTTTATCCTTAGTATTCTTTAATTGCTTGTCTCCTCAGAATTTCTAGCTTTCTCAATTTTGTAACACTTATTTAATGATATCGTCGCTATGGTGGCTGATAGGTATATCGAAAATATTGACGAATGAGTGATGACTAAGCAGTGGCCTCGGTGGTGTAGTGGTACCACGCGTCCCCGATATGGATGGAACGCGGGTTCAACTCCTGTCCGAGGTTCAGTTCTTGCTCGCCACTCAGTTCTCTTGAGATTTCTCTAATAATGACATAATATGTTTTGAGTCGTTTGCCAGGTCTACCTGCTAGGCAGGTCTTTTGGGAATATTTTCATTTTCTTCGTCTTCAAAATTGGATGACTCATCTTCGAAAGTCATCGAGGCACTAACAAGTCGGTCAAAAATCCTGGAGTTCTGAGATGATTTTTCTGGAAAGAATTTTTAAGTCGACTCTGCAAGAAGTTGTAAATCTTTTTGATTAGTAGAAGATTTCCCGCTTCAGTATGACACTACGATAACATGATTCTTCGGTGCTGACAGATCTCTGGTTGGAGTTCCGGATGAAGTTTTCCCCGCTGTTTGGGACTGCTCTTGAGCTTGTTGTTTTCCTTAGAAAATAGAAGCTGAAACTCAGCTTTGATTAGTCCTCAAGGGATGCGCCATACATTCGTCTCCATCTAGCATCAGTTGATATCATCGAATGCATATCTGGTTTTTACTATGAGTGGCGCTGGCTTAGCGATGTATGAAGTCAGTGGTGCTATCCTCCCAGATAGGTCTGGTATTGGCTCGCCGACCCCGGAGGGATGCAAGGCTTCGCGAGCCTTAAGCGCAAGATAAAACCATCGGCTTCTTGTATGCCTCAGACTAACTTCAGTCACTCTAACACACACACTCTATTAGTTTTCTTATTACCTGGACATCTGAGGATCTAGCGAAAGCTCTATTTTTGTAGGAAAACTGTGATTATCAGATGCGTAAGAGTGCATGAACGTACGATCTGTGCCTCATCTTTTCTTATATTCTTAATCTTGACACAGCAAATTCTTGAGCGCTGAATAGAATCGGATGGGCTATAGCTAAGCCAATTGTTTTCCTTAGTTCACAGCGGCTTTTTTTTTGTCCTTAGAAAGTCACTTTTGGAACTTTAAGTGGTCTTTCAAAGTCTTTATACTGTGGTTGCATCTGCTTATCATATCCTGAAATCCTTAGGGACTGCGTAAGATTCTGAAGATATTTCTGGAAAGCTCCGGAAGTATAAAAATTTGACAAAGCTTCAATAGTTAGTCATGTATTGATGCATGAAGCCCGACACTCAAATCCGTTGACTTACCGTCTAATTGATCGTTCCCGTTCGTCGTGAAGTGAAATCAACTCATGACCCTCATGACAAATGATTCTGTGCTGTTTTATCACACTTCCAGTCTTATATTTGCCTTGTCACGTTGAACGAAGGTCGCTTTGATGACGTAACTCATAAGACTTGGAATCTGAGTACCCGATGATAACAAGAGGAATTAGCATGTATAAAGTTCAACCCCTTCGGGCGGTTTTCTCCTCTACTGTAGAATTCTCATCGGACTTCAAGTAGTCATTCGATAGCTGAAAGAACTGCGATTCTGATGATATGCTTGGCTTATTAAAACGCTTTTCTAGTGAATTGTAGCAACAAAGAGCAAATTGCGCTCTTCGGAGTGCACTTACACTCGTGTTTGGGCGGTCTTTTCGGAGAACAAAGGTTTTCCGCCAAAGTTTTAGTTCGATAACTTGAGGAATGGCGAATCTGAATATAGACTTAGTTATACCTTCATTTCGAGTGCTTTATTATGACCACATAAACATAAAGGTATAATATGATAAAAAATACCAGCCAGCGAGCAATCGAGTGCGAAACCCTCTGTGTTAGGTGAAAATTTCGCTTGACATAGAGTGTAAAACGTTCGTCTTCGATGACTCTCTGTAGGGAGAGGAGGGCTCCCGAGAGGACTGACTACGTAAAGATCGAAAAACGACGGGTTCTGCTCGACTGACGAGTCTGTAAGGACGAAACACGTCTCGGGCTGTACAAGAGCCCTTACCAGACCACATGACAAGTTGGCTCAAATCATAATGAAAGGATCTATTGAAATATAAACTTAGTTTTGAATCGAATATCAAATGTAGGTTTTCAATGCGATGTATGAACGGTGAACAAAAACTACGTTACGCTTCGCATCGCATGCACTGTACAGCAACTTTTTTTGACATTGTTTTCCGATTTTCGGCCACTATAAAAACTCTGAAATATTTTTATATAGGTCAAAACTCATAGATTTACATCATTATTTTCGTATTACAAGTAATTACGATTGACAGAATGCCAACGTCTCTGTGATTGCGTAGTAAAAGAGAGCTTTTCTATTGAACACAGACTTTATATGTGCATCAAAAGCGTCCTAGTGTGTGAAGAAAATATTGAAATATCGAAATATCACAATAACCCCCATTTATACCCAAAACGGTGAGAAAAATCTCAATCAAATACCAAAATTCGCGCACTGGGCTGCGATTTCCATTACGCGTGGCGAGTACAACTAGTGGTCCTCAAAGGGGGGGGGGGGGCTTAAAAGTACTCGAACGTGCACACGATTATTGCTTCCCTTAGGGATTGATGAACTTCGAAGGCTTTCAGAGCTTTATCATATATCTCTTGACCAGATAATCCAGGTATATGTCACTGCAAATTTATTGGTATGAGTCCTCATCTTTTTCTGGATGAATCCTGATGATACTCGTTGCAGCACAAGCCAGCTCCGATACCAGCTCGTCGTGCTGAACTGAAGCCTCCTCGTCCTCCGCCGGAGTTTGTTCGGAATGTGGTCGGTTCGTCTGCAGCTGCAGGAAGCGCTGAATACCACATATACCGGTGGGTTTGGCCACATGTGTTTATGAGCATGCTATGGCCAGTGTCGTAGTTAGCTTCTTCCCCACTGTTTTTATGTTTTTCGATTAGTGCTAACATATTTTTCTTACAGCATCAACCGTAAGAAGGAGCAAAATCGTTTAGACTATATAGCCAAAGTAGCAGAGAAGGAGGAACTCGATGAAGAGTATAGGTGGGTAAGCATAATCAAAGCCATATTCGATGCTGATTAACTCTTCGAGGACGGAGTGAATTGTATGAAATGTACTATTGTCACCTTAAGTTTTTTACAGGAGGAAAACCTCTCATTAAAGTTTCAGTACTCATTCGATAGCTTGCGAAACGATGGTTTTGTCTGTGTACTTTGTTTTTTGAGAAGGCCGATACTTTTCCGTTTGGTAGCACAGATTTATTAGCTTATTCCCTACGCTGGACAGGAAGTTTTCATAACGTGCGTTACTAATTATTGGAAAGTTTAAACCTCGAACTATCCGTATACGTGGCCGATTTTGTGGAAAAGCCCTTTCATAAAGCTGAAAAGTTCAAAAAAAGGTAATGTTTCAGACGTGGCTATTTTTCGTTGTACAGAGTGCAATTTTTAGATTATTAGTAATCAT